AGCAATTCTCCTGCCTCAGCCTCCTGAGTAGCTGGGATTACAGGCATGTGCCACCATGCCCAGCTAATTTTGTATTTTTAGTAGAGACGGGGTTTCTGCATGTTAGTCAGGCTGGTCTTGAACTCCTGACCTCAGGTGATCCGCCTGCTTCGGCTTCCGAAAGTACTGGGATTACAGGCGTGAGCTACCACATCTGGATGACTTTGACATTTTTGAGCAGTAGGGGCCATGTTTATTTTATTTTTTGCAGCATAGAATAATTTATTGCAAAAGAAAAATAGTATTTTGAAAGTTAAGTGCAGAATAGGCAGTATACCCTGAGAGAGAGAGGATTCAGGGCAGGCTGCTCATAAGGATAAGACAGCCTGGGCCATGTGTTTTATAAAATGTCCCTTGGTTTGGATTTTTCTGATGTTTTCTCATGAATAGATTTAGGTTATACATTTTTGTCAGGAATACCACATAAGTGATATGCCCTCAGTGCATTGTATCAGGAGGTTCACAGTATAACATACTAGGTGTTATTTTAATTTTGAACAGTTCTTTTCACAAGCATACACTGAATGTCACATAGTACTTTTTTTTTAATTACTAGTCAGGTTGAATTTTATGTATGCTAATGATATGGAAGGGGGATAGGGAAGTACTGGGTAAGGGAGGATGTGGCCTCTGGCTAGGGCTCCACCTTCAGACCTGTGCCCATGGACCTAGGCAAGAACAAGCACTGCTGCCTTCGTACCCAAATGTTGCATTTCCCAAGACCACCCTGGCCTGCCACTCCCCCATCCTGTGCCTATAAAAACCCCTGAGACCCTAGCAGGAACACAGATAAGAGGCTGGATGTTGAGAGGAACACATCGGCAAAAGAAGAAACAAGCAGCTGGACATTGAGAGGACGTCAAGGGGAGCATGCCAGCAGAAGAGCACACTGACAGACGCCAGCATGCCAGCAGGCCATCGACTGGCAGAACGAGGTGGAGTTTGGCCAGGACAGCTGGAAGAGAACCCGGACCGCCGAGCGGCCGGACTCCAGGGGAAAACCGTCTCCCTTCTGGTTCCCCCATCTGCTGAGAGCTACTTTCACTCAATAAAACCTTGCACTCATTCTCCAAGCCTATGTGTGATCTGATTCTTCCGGTACACCAAGGCAGGAACCCTGGGATACAGAAAGCCCTCTGTCCTTGCGATAGGGCAAGGGTCTAATTGAGCTAACACAAGCTGCCTACAGATGGCTAAAAGAGCACCCTGTAACACATGCCCACTGGGGCTTCAGCTGTAAACATTCAGCCCTAGACACTACCGTGGGGTCGGAGCCCCACATTCTGCCTGTCTGTATGCTCCCCTAGCGGTTTGAGCAGTGGGGCACTGAAGAAGCGAGCCACATCCCCATCAAACGCCCTGCGAGGGGGACAAGGGAACTTTTCCCATTTCACTAGTGGTTATTTATGTGATTATTTTGTAAATATATGGGATTACATTTACATACATATATAAATGAATTTGCTGAATTATCTATGAGATTGATTTTGTTTTACCTATTCTAATATTGTTGGGTTTTATTGATTCAAAGAACTCTTTATATATGAATGCTATTAATCCTTTGGCATGAATATTGCAAATGTTTTCCCTAGTTTATTGTTTGCTCTTTAATTTCTTATGACTTTTTAAAACATCTCGAAGTTTAAAATTTTTATGCAAACTGAACTATTAGTATTTTCCTGTATGGTTTCCACCTTTGATATCATGCTTAGAAAAGCCCTTCCTCTAAGATTACAGAAATATTTTTTCCTACTACCTACTGATTTTCTTTTTGTTTCTCAAATAGGTACATTTGCAGGAGCACATGGGTGAAAAGTATACAACTTACAGTGTGAAAGCTCGCCAGTTGAAATTTTTTGAAGAAAACATGAATTTTTGAGTGTTTGTCCTAATCTGCTGCCGGAATTAAAGACCTATTTTTAGAGATTTTTGGCTTAAAAAACAAGGGCAAACAGTCATTTGGAAGCCATTCACCACTGTTTTATATCTCTTTTTATATCTCTTTGGGGTCTTCCTACAGAAAAGAAATTGGACAGCAGAATAATATGAAGCAGGATCACGAAAGAAAAAAAACTTTGGCTTTCATATTCTGAGGACAAATCTGTTGTTTGTTTGATTACTGTTTACTGAGCCTTAATCCACCAAGTTTATATCTAGAATTTTATTTTTTTAAGGTACTGATTAGCTTAAACATAGGGCTTGAAAAAATTTGGATTGAAATTTTTTGTATTGAAAAATTTTTTTTTTTTTTTTTTTTTTTTGAGACAGAGTCTTACTCTGTCACCCAGGCTGGAGTGCAGTGGTGCAATCTCAGCTCACTGCACGCTCTGCCTCCCAGGTTCACGCCATTCTCCTGCCTCAGCCTCCCAAGTAGCTGGGACTACAGGCGCCCGCCACCACGCCTGGCTAATTTTTTTGTATTTTTAGTAGAGACGGGGTTTCACCATGTTAGCCAGGATGGTCTCCATCTCCTGACCTTGTGATCCGCCCGCCTTGGGCTCCCAAAGTGCTGGGATTATGGGCATGAGCCACCATGCCTGGCCATAAATTATAAAATTTAAAAAAGTCAATTCACAGTTCTAGAAATAGATTTAAAGAATATGAAGTTCTGTCTAGTACTTGAACAGCTGAATTTCTTTTCTACACATTGATGGACTTTTAATATTTTATTCTCATTTAATATAAACCTCATCTAGGGTATATACAAATTAAAACTGAGATACATTGCCTTTGTAAATTAGTATGTTTTTACATAATGGTCTTGTTAGATTTATTTTTCCATCAGTGAAAACATTTCTTAAACACAAATTTCATTTCGGTTTAAGCAATTTGTAAGCAGTCTAGTTCCATTTAGTTTTTGGATATATTTAATGTTTGTCTCCTGAAGTTTGTCTTCATGTACTTTAAGATATTAGTTGTCGTTCCATGTTTTAAATGTATGATTATATATCACATATTTTATTAGTTAAATGTTTAAGAAGAGGTAATACCCATCTAGGAAAGAAATTTTATAAAGTTAAATACAAGTCTTGAATAGTACATTTTCACTTCTGTATTCGAGGGACTCTAAAAATAAATATTGCTCCAGAAATGTTTTCAGGTGGTTTTTTTTGAGACAGCATTTCATTCAGTCAGGCTGGAGTGCAGTGGCATGATCTCAACTCACTGCCACCTCTACTTCCGGGGCTCAAGTGATACTCCCGCCTCAGCTTTCCTAGTAGCTGGGACCATGGGTGTGTGCCACCACACCTGGCTAGTTTTTGTATTTTTTGCAGAGACAGGGTTTCACCATATTGCCCAGGCTGGTCTTGAACTCCTGGGCTCAAGCAATCCACTCACCTCAGTCTCCCAAAGTGCCGGGATTATAGGCATGAGCCACTGTGCCCAGCCCTGTTTTCAGTTTCTATAACTAAAAATATATCTTTGAAAATTACACACACACACAGAAATACTCTAATGAAATGTTCCCTTTACAGCCACTTAATGAATTTTTTTTTTTTTTTTTTTTTTGAGACCTGTCTCACTCTGTCACCCAGGCTGAAGTACAGTGGTGCAATCTCGGATCACTGTAAGCTCTGCCTCCTAGGTTCACTCCATTCTCCTGCCTCAGCCTCTTGAGTAGCTGGGACTACAGTTGCCCGCCACCATGCCCGGCTAATTTTTTTGTGTTTTTTTAGTAGAGACAGGGTTTCACTGTGTTAGCCAGGATCGTCTCGATCTCCTGACCTTGTGATCCGCCCACCTCAGCCTCCCAAATGCTGGGATTACAGGCGTGAGCCACCGCGCCTGGCACACTTGACAAATTTTTATTTAGACTTTACTATGTGCCAGGTTCTCTGCCAGGAGCTGGGGATATAGTGGTGAATAAAACAATGCTTCCTGCCCTTTTACAGTGCTCACAGCCTGGTTTCTGATAACTCTTATTTTCACTTTGAAGGGTTTGCTAGAACTCAACTTGCAAAACAATCAAGTCCCAATGCCCAGTTGGGAACAAATCTTTGGCAAACTTGGTATCCTTGAGCTATTCCTTTCCTTGCATGTTTTGGAAATCCACATCTTTCTGGACAGTCATCAATTTTACTTAATTTTTCTAATTTATTGGTGTAAAGCAGGTATTTTATTAGAATTAATCTCACCCGTTTTTTTTTTTTTTTTTTGAGACAGGGTCTTGCTCTGTTACCCAGCCTGGAGTGCAGTGAGGTGATCATAGCTCACTGCAGCCTTGACCTCCTGGGCTTAAGTGATCCTCCCACCTCAGCCCCTTAAGTAGCTAGGACCACAGGCATGCACCACCACACCTGGCTAATTTTTAAAATTTTTTGTGGAGAGGAAGTCTGTGTTGCCCAGGCTAGTCTCAAACTGCGTTCAAGCAGTCCTCCTGCCTCGGCCTCCGAAAGTGCTGGGATTATAGGCATGAACCACACCTGACCTCCCCCATTCTTTCTTATTCCCATGTTGTATATTTTTATTTTGTTTAAACATTGATCCTGTTTTCTTCCCACTTTTATCGTTCTTTTTTACTAGAGTGCTTAATTCATCTTCCTAAATTAATTTAAAAACTCATCTTTAAGACTATACATTTTCTTCCCAATATAATCATTCTTTTTTTTTTTTGACACAAAGTCTCACTGTTGCCCAGGCTAGAGTACAGTGGTGTGATCTTGGCTCACTGCAGCCTCTGCCTCCTGGGTTCAAGTTCCCCTCCCTCAGCCTCCCAAGTAGCTGGGATTACAGGAACATGCCACCACGCCTGGCTAATTTTTTTATTTTTAGTAGAGATGGAGTTTCACCATGTTGGCCAAGCTGGTCTTGAACTCCTGACCTCAGGTGATCCGCCTGCCTTGGCCTACCAAAGTGCTGGGATTACAGGCGTCAGGCACCATGCCTGGCCTAAAGTGTCAATAATTCTGATTTTGGTTTTCTCTTTTATAAGTTTTGATTTCCATAGACTTATAAAGCAAAGGAAGTTATATGTCCTTGCTCTGGCTATACTGCAGTGTTACTGAATATCACCTGCACAACCTTTACTTCTTGCAGTTTTTTTTTCCTGTTGTTTAGTACATTATCCATTATTGGAATGGCCTTATAGGCATTCAATAACGGTGACATGTTAAATACAAAATCACTTGTCTATTAAATTTTATTCAAGGTTCTATATAAGATCTGCTAAATGGAACTTTGTGATGGAAATGTTTTATATGGTAGCCACTATTCACATAGCTCTTGAGCCTTTGAATCATGGCTAGTTTGATAAGTTTTATATTTTAATTAAATAGACATGTGTCTAGTGGCACCATATTGTACAATGCAGTTCTCATTCAATAAATCTTAAGTGCTTACAATGCATCGTGTACTCTTCTATGTACTGGGCAGACAGCAGTGAGAAAAACAAGGTCCCTATTCTTATGGAACTAATGTTCTAGTAACAACTATTAATTATATACCATGAAATGTCTCAAACTCCTGGGCTCAAGTCATCCTCCTGCCTTAGCCTCCCAAAGTGCTGGGATTATAAGTAACAGTCACTGCACCTGGCCAGAACCATGAACTTCTAACTTAGGCTTTTACTAATTATCTTCCTTGCAGAATAATGAACAAAAGATCCTTTAGACAAAGAACTTGCACTATGAGGTTTAATTGGAAATATTAAAATGGTTTAACAACTCATAATGAATTACAAAACTTTGATAGTTACATTGTACTATCATTTATGAGGCATTTATTCTTCATTATTCACACCTGAAAGAAACTGCATACTTGTGTGTTCTGTTCCCCATTTCACAGCAAGATTATGAAGAGAAGGTCTAAACTACTTATATAAATCAAAACCCAACTGTGCTAGAAATGAAGTATAAAGAGAACTAAATCTACACACAGCTGTGCCGTAAGAGCATTAGATGGTTTTAGCTCTTTTCTGGGGTATGAAAGCAATTTAGCTCATCTCACAGGAAACAAAAGCAGGTGCTGAATCATGAAAACCTCAATTATTTTTAGCATGCCTCTTAATTTTTCTTTCCCCTGGTTTCTTGTCGTCTGTGCTTGAGTCTTGAACAGGTAACCACTTGAGAGGATGCCGGCGATAAATGGGCCATGGAGGAAGTGTCAGCTGGGTCAGAAAAGAGGAAATGCATAAATTATAGCTATTAAAAGTGTAAAAAATTATGTATAATGCCAGGTTCCCAAACGACTCCCATGCTGAGGAAACAAAAAACAAAAAAATCCATATTCCTATAAAGGCTCTGTGCCACCGTCCATGCAAAACACTGTAAGATGATGGGAACAGGCTTACTGCCTACACAAATGGCTTTAAGACCTAAAAGAAAGGTGAGGGACCAGGTGTGGTGGCTCTCGCCTGTAATCCAAGCACTTTGGGAGGCTAAGGTAGGCGGATTGTTTGAGACCAGCCTGGCCAACACAGTGAAACCCTGTCTCTACTAAAAATACAAAAATTAGCTGGGTGTGGTGATGTGAGCCTGTAGTCCCAGCTACTCGGGAGGCTGAGGCAGGAGAATCGATTAAACCCGGGAGGCAGAAGGTGCAGTGAGCCGAGATCGCCTCAGTGCACTGCAGCCTGGGCAACAGAGTGAAACTCCGTCTCAAAAAATTTAAAATAAATAAATAAATAAATAACAGTTGAGGGGGCAATGTGAGCACCATGAAAAACTCCTGCTGGCTTTGACCTTAAGATTATTACCTAGAGTAGCTGCCAAAGGAAATAAGCTATGTTCTTTTATACAGTTCACACCATCTGACACTATTTTGGCATTCTACTTTTCCAATGATAGCAAAGGGAAACGCTGTCTGGAAGGATGAGGGAAACATTGGCTTTGGGTCTCACTACTGAGTAGGTCTAACCAAACCAACCCGACTCACAAAACCCAGGTTGCCACTAACACCCACAAATTTCTTACCAAACATGAAAAAGCAAATCCGGCCATAACTATATAGACAGTCCACCCGAACTGTTCAGCCACGTATCCGTAAATAAATCCAACTATCTAGAGACAAATGAAGTATATTAAACACACTCAAACTGAGGGTTGGGAGGGAGGCGGGGGCG